CAGCGCGGCGGGAGAGGGCACGACAATGACGTCCCCTTGCCCTTTTCTCGGGAGCGACGAGGGGGGAGTTCCGAACCTGTCTCCGAAGCCGATGATGTCGTCCGTGTCTTCTTCTTGAGGGTGGTATTATCGTCGCCGCCCTTTGAAACACAGAGAGGCATCAAAAAAGAGGATGAACACACAGCATCGGCGAGAAAAGGCGGGAAGGGGAGAAAGGGTGTGCGACTAAGCCAAATAGCTTCGTCAAAGCGGGGTTGGCGGAGGGGACCCTCTCCATCAGTAGCAGCAGAGGATGCAGCTGGAAAATGCAAAGAAATGTCGAGGCCGACACACAAACTTGACAAACAAATCACAACATGGTATGTGTACACAACGCTCTCTTCGGTTTACGAGTGGCAAAAGTGGCAACCAGACTAGAGGTTTCAGTGGAGTACCGAGGAAAGCTACGATACATAGGTACTCGAGGAAGAATATTTCGAGCGCCAGTCTTTTGAAACCGTCAATGCCGGCTATTCTACAATCTTTTGAATGCCGCATATGCTCACGCCATGGTCGCCTCCAGTGGTAACATCCCTCGCCCGTTTCCTGGGGTCTGGGAGCTCGTGCTTGAGCCTGCAGGCTGTTCCGTCCGGACAATAACCCTGCTTCGTCGTTTGTGTTCGGTTCGATCGTTACCGGTGGGGAAACAACCAAAACGGACACGCAGAGTGGCAGACGTGCATGCGCCGAAGAAAAGAAAAGACGAAGAGGGTACGGAGAGCGGGGGCGGGGGTCGGAGGGAGCATATCAGAACGGAACCCACTCGCAAGCGTTACACAACACTACCGCCCCGCACGACCGAAAATCAAGACCCAACACAAGAAAACACACCCGAACCCACCCCCCAGTATCCCCCGTCATCGCAACCTACGGGAAGCGGAACCACCAACGGTTGGAGAGGACCAACCATCTCCCCATCATGCCAAGCAACCGCTTGAGAGGAAGAAACGAACCTTCAAGAATCTGGGGCAGACCGCCGCGTTCTGAGAGACCTTCACGTGCAGGTACGGGCAGTTGGGCGTGAAGCACATTCCCTTCTCGAAGTAGATGCAGACCGGCATCTTCTCCGCCTGGACGGCGTGCGTCAGCAGGCACTTGTTTCCCTTGTCGCACCCGCCCTTTCTCAGGAACGCGCGGCACACCGCCACCTTGGCCCTGTCGTGGACGTAGCGGCACTCCTCGTCCGACTTGGAGCACTTGCCGAACCTGCAGAAGAAGAGGCACGGCTCGGCCGTCTTCGTCTTCTTGTTGCTCTTCTTCTTGGCAGCAGCAGCCGACGCCGCCTCCTTGCCGGTGCCGACCACGGCCACCTGCCCCTTTCCGCGGTACAGCGTCATGTTGCGGACGACCTGCAGGCGGGTCCGCTTGGCGCGGGCGCCGGCAACCACTGCCGCCGCCCTCCTCGACGTCACGCTTCGCGCGCGAGCGGCCGCCTTGCCCAGCAGAGCCGCTTTCCGCCGGGCGGCCGCCGGCGACGGCGCCGACGCCGCCTGCGTCGCCGCAACGCCGCTCTTCGCAACTGCGGTGGCCTTCGCCCTCCCCGCAAGCGGAAATACTTTCGAAGGAGCGTTTCCGTCTCCAGTCGCCCGAGCTGGCTTGTCCTGTGCGCTACTGGTTTTTCTGTCGATCGACATCTTGAGCCTCTTGGCAGCCGGGGTCGAGGCTGCGGCTGCGGCGGCTGCGGCAGCGGCGGCCCTACGGGCCGCAAGGGCAGAGCTGTCGACACGCCGGATGGCCATGCCGTGCTTGCCGCCACGGACGAACTTCGTCGACGAAGCAGCGGTCCCGCCCAGTTTTGCGAAACGGCTTGTCGCGCCGAAAGAGGCGCGTCGAGCAACCGCACCCAGTATTGTCGCTGCCGTTGTCATCGCCGCGCCGCGCTGCTGCGGTAGAAGGCTGCGGGCGCGAATAAGAGTCCTGTTCTTAAACCGCACGTGCTTGCTCCGGGGTGCTTGTCGCGAACGGCCAGCCGCCGAGGAATACAAGCCCCGTCCGCGCCCCCTTCCCCGCCCCCTTCCCCGCCCCCTCCAGCCGGCCCACGGATGAACCCACTGGCCTGCCACCCATTGCGAAGTGGGATACGCCCCGAAGCGCGCCGTCGCCGGTGCCCATGCTGAATGACTAGAGTGCGCTCGCCCCCAGCCTCTACCGTTGAAATGCCACGCCGCCCACCCCCCCTGCGAGGCAAGAAGGCCTCGAGGTGACTTGTATCGGCCTCTCGCGCCGGCGCCCGTTCCGGTCCTTCCCCGGCCTCTCCAGGCAACCACGCCCCTGCCGGCGCGCCCGAACGTCCTGCCAACCGCGCCCCCCCTCCCGAAGGCCTTGCTCTTGCTGCAATGAGCACCGCCTCGCGCTGCCGCCCCCCCCGAGTACCGCGCGACTTGCTGCCCGCCGGCTTGTCTCGACGGCGGACCTTTCCCGGCACGCGTCGCGACGACGGCGGCGGCGGCAGCGGCGGCGGCTCTACGCTGTTGGGAGGCCGCCGACCCCGAGTATCGCGCGACAAGCGGCTTTGACGCCGTCACAGGAACGGGCGCCGCCCCTGCCGGGGCCGCCACAGCGGCTGCTGCAGAACTCCGCCCAGCGGCCGAACCCGAGTATCTCGCGACTGGTTTCGTCGGGGATGACGGCGGAGCGGCGGCCGCGGGCTTCGGGCGCGCGGCGGCAGCGGCGGGAGCTTTCGACAGAGCGGCGGCCGACGCAAACGGAGCTGGGGCCGTTACAGCGGCAGCGGTCGTTGCAGAACTCCGCCCAACAGCCGAACCCGAATATCTCGCGACTGGTTTCGTCGGAGAAGACGGCGGAGCGGCGGCCGCGGGCTTCGGTCTCGCTGCTGTGGCGGCTGCAGGAGCTTTCGACACAGCAGCGGCCAACGGAGCCGGAGTAACTCTCGATGAAGCCGCCGCTCCTCCGGCCACCGACGAATGCGCGTTTCTACTGCTGATTGCTGTAGCTCCGGCTGACGGCGGCTGTTCCTTCCACGACCTCGCGGTGCTACTGTTTCCATTACCACCTGCGCTGCTAGCTGGCGCAACCCCACGGGAATCGGACCGAGCGGGGCCTCCTGCTGTCTCCCCTCTTCCTGTCGCCTTCGTCCACACGAGGTTGTGGCCGGGACCCCTTCGTGGTTGCGCGGCCGACGATCCACCTCGGAACACGGCGGCGGGCGTGCTTGGGGGCGGGGGTCCCCCCACGGGCTTCTTCGTAGCGACATTGCTGGTACCGGCGATTTGGGCAGCAGTAGTGCTGCTGTTGGTCCACACCCGGTTGCGGTTGCCCGTCTTGGACTTCGTGCTGATGACGGCCTGGGCCGCACTGCCTCTCGCCAGAGCCGTCGTGGTTTGGCGGGTCGCGCTGCTAGGACCGTTGCTTGGCCCTCCGGCTTCCGCATTGACCCAGACCCGATTCACCCCGGCTCTTGGAGCTGTGCCTGGTACCGGAGAAGGGGAGGCAGCACCAGGGACATGGGAGCCACCACCAGCAGCAGGTCTATCCGGCGGAACGGGAGCAGCAGCGGTCCTTTTCCAGGACATGCTTCTGCCTCGGCCCCGTCCCCGGGACGCGGGGAACGTGTGCCCTCCCCTACCCGCGGCGGCGGCCTCTCCGCCTCGTCCTCTTCCTCTCGAGTACGTGAGCAGCACCATCTTTGCTTTCCGGCAAAGCGACGTTTTGTGCAATGACGCGAGGTAGAGGCAGGCAGGCAGGAGGAGAAATTGGAGAAATTGAGAAATTGGTTTGGGGGGACAAACAATTGGAATTGATGGGTAGGGTGTTGCCTCGCCTCGCCCTTGATGGTGCCAAGCTGCAAGCAAGGATGGTCCGTTCCGTTGTCTCTGCTCATAGCAGCCGGAAAAAGACACCCCCCTCATCGGGGGCGGCGACGCCGCACAAGCCATGCAGTCGCACCTGATGAACAAGAGGCGCTCGGAGGTATCCGTCGCGCCGCTCAGGCCGCTGGCGCTGAACCGGGCGACGGAAATCCTGCCCTACCGAGGCACACTGTTCTTGAAGGGTGAGAGCGACATTTTTATATGATGAACATTCTCACCGACCCTCCGGAAATGAGCGCCGCCGGCCGGAGCGCGTGTGATGGTCTGATGCAACCACCCCCTAGCGTGCTGCCTGCTGGAGACGTATGCACGTAGTTGTTGCACTTGTGCGGATGAGCACGGTGGTAGGGGAGGCCGATGTCGATAACGTTCTTTGGGTGTGCAACCAGGAGAGCAGAAAAGTGCAGAATATTTTCACACAACACTGCTTGACACGGAGAAGTCCTTGGAAGAAAGCGGTAAGACCGTCGTATCGTCGATGATGATGATGATGCATCGCAGCAAAAAAACACACGGGCGTGCCCCTTTTGCGGAGTGTTGGCTCGCTTGGTTGCCTGGAAGTCGTATGGGTGCTTTTGCATCCAACCGCTGTTTGCTGGTCTTTTGTCGGAGGAATCAGCCAGCAACTGGCGAACCTTTGGACAGACGCTGTCGGTGGCGGAGACTTCCCGCTAGACATACCACCTTACCCAAAGAAGGCACAACATACATGTTGCCATCAGGGTCTTTTTAGTCTAACTTCATCCACATGTATTACTACTTCGTACCTCCGTCTGCAGACCTGGATCGTATGTACCAGTGGAAAAGTGTTCTGTGGCATGTACTTGCACTTGTTGCTCGCGCTCTCTCTTTGGCAGGAACTACGTATTATGTGTTGCGCAAGTGGCCGAAAACGCAAAATTCCTTGCTTGTAGCGGGTGTTCCGATGTCCAGCACTACTTGTAGATGCTCAGTCGCATGTCAAGGGGCGCGCTGGCTGTTTGCAGCGCGGTTGTTCCCTCCTGGCCGAGAGGAAACCACTGCTGTTATAGTGTCACCGGTGCACACGAGAATATTCCGCCCGTCACCGACAAACGCGTTGCACGTTGTGTTCTGCACGTCTTGGAGTGTTGTGTACCTGACGCCAGACTACTGCTGTACAGTAGTGCAATATGGGAGACATCAGTATCGACAGACATGGGATTCGATTGCAAATGTCGACAGACTTGGGATTTCAATTGCAAAACGGCGCTGGCTCATTGGGGTTCGCACCACGCCTCTGTCCACGAAACCGTACTCCATAGGGCGCGCCCACACACATCGGACATCGAAATACCCGGCGCGTTCACTGCTGTTTGTTGCTTTTTGTGAACACACAGCAGTATTGTGCACCCAGTGCGCTATCAACCTCTTACTCGCGCAGAGGGCGTACGACTTGACCTTCGGATTCACGGGCGAGGGGAGGTTGCAGTCTACCACACCCCCTTCACTTGAAAAACCCTTGCATTTGTGCACAACAGTTTGCGCGCTCTGTACTGGATGGGTGGGGAGACCCAGCATGGAATATATAGGTTTTAGTGGTGGGTAGTGTGTTTCGAGTGTACTCGTTTTTTCGTTGAAATCGAACCCTCAACGGCCTTACCGCCAATTCCTTAGGGTGGTGGTGCCTTCTGCGGCACACGAATTGTTGCGTTAAACCAGAAAACGCTATCCTTGCAGCAGGTATGTACCCTTTCCCCCAACGTCGCGACCTACGCACCACGAAAAGAACCACACCAAGAAACAAGACCTACCACAAGCTCAGGTCCTAAGAAAACTCGCCCGTCCCTCCCTCCCCTTTCTCGCGTCTTTTGCCACACCAATCAATTGGTTTGCATGCACGCCGTACGTGCCAAAACAACTTTCTCGACAAACACAATGTAAAAAACACACACACACACACACACACACACACAAGTCATCAAGGGTACGCAGCTCGTGCAAGCGCCGAAGCCCCCGCCGCAGAGGGAGAGCAAGCTGGGGGCAAGGCTGTCCGCCTTCCTTGGGGACGGGAGGGTCGAGGCCGGGCCGGTGATGATGCACGCCGTCAGCGTGACGTCCTGGCTCACGGACGCGGAAGCCGAGGCGCGGGGCGAAGGTGGCGGCGGTGGCGGTGACGGCGGCGGCGGCGATAGTCCCGGTGTTGCGGTGAGATATGGAGGCCTTGGTCGGGGGGAGGGGAGGGGAGGCATGGGCTGTTGGTTGTATCCCGTGAATTAGAGGAGGGGGGGGGTCGTATCCCTATCTCTAACCGTAATCCCCAAACCTACCCCATACATGTACCCTCTACTAAAACCAAGCTTGATACATATCCTCGCCAAGGCTACTGCTTGGTCGTGTGCGGCGGCGATGCGTTCGTTCTGAAAGAGAGCTGGTGATGGTGTCGGGAAGAGCAGGAGTACAGTGTAGGATGATTTTGTTGGGGGGGAGGGAGAGATAGGCGTGTTTTTTGTTTTGGTCGGCGGTGACGACACCCTCCCCCGGGATTTAGTCCGCTCAAGTCAACAGCTGTCGAGGCTTGTGCAAGCGGATACCTTGCCATCGATTCTGGCCGCTGCCTGACAATCAAGCAAGCACATGCAATAAAAATCCATCACGATTCACCATCGTCCTCGTCGCTTAACACCCATACGGCTGGTTCATTTTTGCGCTGATTGTTTGTGCCCTGCACCGAACCCCCTTCCGCAACAACAGCGCTCCATCACCGGCGAACCAAACAGGGGCTCGTTCTCGGCATCGTCCGGCGAAGGAGGCTTCGGCCGCGCAAGCTCGGAGTCTTCCCTCTCGGCAGCAGCAGCGGGATCGGCAGCAAGAGGAGGAGGGCCGCAAGGCGCGGGGGCCCTGAGGAGTGGCGGGGCCGAGGGAAGGGGGGGGGTCGTTCGACGCACCCCCAAGCCCGATGCGGCGAGGACTAGCTCGAAGTTCGTCAGCCACGGGGACGCGGACGGGGGCGCTAGCTGGGACGAGGAGTTTTTCTTCGGGAGAGTGTCCGGAGAAGTTGCCGTGCGAATCGTCTGCATTGATAAGGTGGGGGTTGGGGGGGGGCGTTCATGTTTTGCATGCCTTCGCAGCGGGTAGGCCGTTGGCCACGCGTCCTCGAGAGAGGACGGACCATTGTTCCCACGGGATCGGTCACCGATGATGGCCGATCTTTCCTTCCTATTTTTTGCGAAAGATGGCTCAAGAGTATTTTCCTCATCTTGTAAGGACGGGGGTGCTTGTTTTCGTCATGATAGATGGCCCTGTTTGTTTGGCACAGGTTAGAGGGATGTACATGTAGTGGTGGGGGAGGATGCACGGGAGTCCGGGCGGTTTGGCCCTTGGTTTGGGTTGCGCGTGTGGCGATGTTTTTTGTGTGGGCGCGGCTTCGAATGCGGTGCGTATACCTCTACTCTTTCGCATCAAGTTTTTCCCGATGCCTCTTGGTGGCAGCTGTGTGTGCTTGCACATCTCCGCCTTGTCGGCGTCATGATGATCATTGTGAGGAGAAAAAAAATACAACAGTAGTTCCGCCCCGGTCATCATTCCCACCGCCACGGGCTCGTCGCCGCCTCTCACGCATTCCCAACCAACAACACTCAACAAACTCTCGCTCTTCTTCCGGATGCTGCTGCCGCTGCTGATGCCACTGCTGTCAAGCAGCCTCTCCGCGAGGGCGCCGAGGACGAGGTCGTCGGCGAGCTCCTCATACCGGTGTCCCGCCTGCCGCAGAACGAGCCAGTGGAGCAGTGGTACGGCCTCGAGCCTCCCGTCGGGTCCGGAAAAACCTTCACCAAGGCGGCGCTCCTCCTCCGCTTCCTCTTCACGTCCAGCTCTAGCCCCGACGCCGCCGCCGCCGCCGCTGCTACGGCCAGTGGGGCGGGGAAGGGGGACAGCGCGGCGCCGGTCGGGAGTCAAAGGCAGTCGGTAGCGGCGCTGGCGCAAGCGGAAGATGGGGCGGCGGGGGTGGGCGGCAGCCGTGCGGGCTCTCCGGGGGGTGGGGCCGGGGCGGGGAAGGCGGGGCTAGGAGCCGGAAACGAGAGCTTCCGGCAGGCGTTGTTGATGGCGGGAGTCACGCCGGAAGGGGCCGGCGGCGGGGGCAGCAATGCTGATTCTGCTGGCGTTAGAAGGACGGGCTTCCCCGGAGGAGGGGGCGCGAAGCGAGGGGACGAGTTTTCGGTGGATCCTTCCATCGATCCCTTCGGTGCGGATGAGATCGAAGAGGGCGATGAGTATCTTGGTGGCGGGGGCGACGACTCCCAGGTGGCGCGGGCGGCGCACAGGGGAGAGCTGTCGCTTTTGCACTCGCAGCAGCAGCTGCAGCTGGGGAGCTGGGGCGGGTCGAACGTTGGCACTGCCGTGCTCCCGGTGGGTTTTGTTTTTGATTCTCGCAGGGGGGGGGGGGGGGGGAGGCGTGGCAGCTTTGTTTCGCTTGTGTCTCCACGTGCTATGCAGACGAGCTAACGTTGCAACAGACCGACTCGCTACCGACGGTCTTTATTGAGTGCTACATCCACGAACCCTGCCCTTGTCACACGCGGTCTCTCCAGCTGTGGCGCGTGGAAAGGACGATTAGGATTGGGGCGGCCTCGGTCGCTCTTCTGCATCCCGCTCCTACTGCAGCGTTGGGTTTAGTACGTAGTACTCTGGCCCTTCCGCGTGCCCCCCCTGCCTATATATGCAACTACCGGTATCTAACGCCTGCTGCGTTGTGCTTGCGGTGGTCGGGCTTTGGTGCCGAAGGGTACGACGGCAGCGGAAGCGGCGCTAGCCCTGTCTACAGACGAGGTCCTGCCCGCAGGTCTGGTGGACTACTTCCTCGTGGTGAGTTTGTTGTTCCGTCCCGCGTGCGCTCGGCGCGCACTGCAACTTTTTAGGTTAAGCGGGCCTTACACAGACCGCGCGCGGGGGAGAGGAGGCGAAGAGGTTCCCTTTGTTGCGGAGGGGGTAATTGTCCCCTCGCAGGATCAGAAATGAGGGATCTTCTTCTGTGGGTGAATGTATTGAGCTCGAACGCAGCAATCGGAGGTGCTCAACACGAGGCAGAGGGATCTCGGCGGGGCTCCGCAGACCGGCACAACAACACCCCCTGATGGCAACCGCTGTAGGTTGCCCGCACAGAGGAAAGATACAAGCATCTATATTTAGTTTTTCTTTACTTTTTTGGGCCCTACACTGCGCTGAATCCATCGTGGTACGTGACCCCCCCCCCCTCAATTTGTCTTGTCGACCCGCACCGCAATCGATGTCGGTTGTGTGGTACGGCATGTACAAGGGGGATCGCAACCGCGGTGGTTTCTTTCGCGGCATCCCAAGTCGCGCCCTTTCCTGCACCTTACACTACATGTTTGGGTTGTGTCGACGGTCTTTTCTTTTGCACCGACTACTGAGCGGAGACCGGTACAATTTTCTACTGTAAAGACACCAACAACAACAACAACAACAACAACAACATAGGTGGGGCCAGCTGCGAACGAAGAAGGAAAGCTCAAGGTAGCGGACTACGCCGACTGCGGCTTCGGGTCTTCGGGCGCCACCGCCGGGAGGGGCGGCGGGAGCGGTCCGGGGGTCGACGAGCTACCGGCGACGGCTGTGGAGGTGGAGAGTGCCGTGTTGGAACACTTTCCGGAGGAACAGAGAGAGGATGCCCCGTTCCCTACCAAGGTGTGTTGGGGGGCGGAGTGCCAACGGCGCACTGGTGCGGGCGGGCGGGGCGCATGAGGTGTCGGTCGCAAGGTTGGAAACCTAAAACAGCGGTATGTGGATGCCGGGCGGTGGTTTTTTCGCACCTTTTGCGACGGGTTTTGTTCCTGCCGTAGGTGGCATAAGATGTCACGCCGCCTGGACAGAATTTGAAGGCTCGATTTACTCACACGGCAGAGAGAGAGAGAGAGAGAGAGAGATAGAGTGGCGATGCCGAAAACGGCGCGGCTTGGAAACCGTCTTTGTCGAGAGCATTCGGAAAACGTGCCGTTTGATTTTGCGTCCTCTTTCTTCGTCGTGGAGTAGTCGAGCTTTGAGCACCGATCCAGGGGGTGTGCCGTGTAGCGTCACCTACGGTATAGCAAAGGGGGGGCGCTCTTGCCTTGCCTCGAGGAGGCATGTCTTGCTGGCAGAGCTTCGATGTTCGTTTGCCCGAAAATCGTACTTGAAGGAAGACGTTGCTCTTGTTGCCCCCCGCCGCCCCTCCGATGCTCCTAACCAATCAAGCATGCTCAATTTTTTGCGCCCGGACACCTCCATGTCCTCCCGAGCGATAAACAGCGAAAAGGCCTGGGCAAATCTGAACCCCCTTGCAACCGCTACCGCCACGCAACAGGTGGAGTGGTTCTGCTTCCCGCAGGGGCTGTTTCTCCGGTCCGCCGCGTCGCAGCCGGCTCCACACGTGTCCTCCTTCGTGCGGTTCACGTCGGGGGTCCGGTCGTACGGCCTGTGTCTCACCTTCTACCGCCCTGTGGACGTCTTGGAAGAAACGAACCCGTTCGTGGCGGAGTCAGCGCCGAGAGGTGCGGTGGCCGGGGAGGGGGGGGGGGGGGGGGGGGAACTTTTCCCGGCCCAACCCCCCCAGGTTTTGGACCGGGGGGTCCCCCCCCGGGGCCCCGGGAAGGGGGGCAAAGCCTAACCTTAGGGGATAACGGAAAGGCCGGGCCC